AATATGGTACTTTAAGTGAAAGGTTATTAAATGGAAAAACTTATAACGTTAATACGTGAGTACTGAGACTGCCATAACAAAATGAAATATAGAGTTTAGTTTTTCATAATCACCTATATGGTGGTAGTTACCCATGATGATAGAGAGTAATTATTGATCAAGTATGTGATAATGAATGAAATAAAAAATTTGCATATATGACAATCATATCACTATGTCATTAGATGGTCGGACCACGTCAACCACGTGACGTGGTAAGATTGTCCCATGTAAATATTTTGCAATAAATGATGGCAAAAATTTAATTTGAAAGTTTGAATCATTAAAAAAAAAAAAAAAGCCATAATAAAAACAAATGAAGAAAGAGAAAGTATTTAGGTTGGTAGATCAAGATATTCCTTTGACATTAACTTTGTTTCTTTTATACTTGTTCTTGATATCTTCATCATTTCAAACTCTTGATTTACTTTTATAAAATAAATCTTAATTAATTAACAATTCAATTTTGTTTAAAAAATATTTGTAAGAATATCCATTTTTTCTTCTAATTTATAATGACTACAATTTTGAAGTATTTTAATATGAGGTCAATCCCTATCTAAAATTTTAACAGCAATAGTAAAGCTTTTTTTTTTTTTTTTTTTTTTTTTTTAAACGAGATATTGAGTTAGTTTACACACACTTTACTAATCTTATGATCCATTAAACACTTTACAACTCAAAAGAGAGGTGTCCGGGCTAACTTGCGAGTACCCAAACTAATCTACAAGCCCAAAAATCAAATAAGTCACAACGTGATAGGTGGTCCCAAGGTTTGAACTAAGAACTTAAGGAAATGAGTAAACCTCCTTAACGTCAATAGGGGTGTTCAAAGCGGTTAACCGCTTTTTTTAACCGAACAGTTTTTAGGTTGGAAAAATAACTGCAATCGAACCGGTTTGGAGGAAAACCAGTTTTTCGGTTAACTGAAAAACTGGTTTGAACCGGTTTTTTTTTTTTTTTTTTTTTTTTTAAAACTTTTTTTTCCAAATTAAATTGTAAATAAACAATAATATCTAAATTAAAAATAAAAATTCATACATATCCATTTACCACTACTAACAATACGTTAAAAATATTATTATTTTTTTATTTAATAGATACTATATTATATTATTATTATTATTTTATTTAATATATAATATTTTATTTTTATTTTTATTTAATATATATATATATAACTGATTCAAAAAACCGGTTTCGGTTAACCGCTTTTTATTTTTTCCCGAACCGAAAATCTGGTTTTTTGAATTTTTCTAACCGTAATTGAACCGTTTTTTCGATTAACCGGTTTTTCGGTTCGGTTCGGTTTTTACATTTTTTTGAACACCCCTAATAGTTAGGTCAACCTCTTCGGGTTAGTAAATCGTTTTTCTTCTTTAAAAAATCTTTATTTTTTTTTATGCAAATTATAGGAGCATGCGTTACAAATATAAAATATTATACATGAGGTAGTAGTAGTAATTGTGGAATCAATCATATGTTACATCCCTTTCAACAACATTCTTTCTTCGAAATTTACAAAGATTTTTATACTTTTCAATACCTCTTAATTGATCTTCACTGAAAGTTTGGATTGAAAATTTTGGACTTTGGTTTAAATTGGGCTTAGTCAAGGCCTTGTGGCAACCCAGCCCAATTGAATGTTATTTGTATACTAATTGTCAATATCTTCTAGAGTAAATGACTTATTCCATCCAAGGTTTTCCTTAATGACACTTTCTCACCCAAAAAGTTTTAAAATACCATTTTTTCACTCAAAGTTTATATTCCGTTAATACTGAAAATACACTTCACTTTCTCAACCAACATTTGGCAAGTTACCAGGAGCCAAGGTAAGAGGGGTTTTGTAGAGTTAAGACCGGTAGATCAAATGATGGTGATCGATTGAATATTCGTTGTCAGAATCAGCTGAAAATCAGCTAAGAACAATAAACTCTAGCTTTGTAGTGACTGGCAATCGACGAGAAATCAAGTATCAGAGTGAGAAAAATTTTGTAAAGAAGAGACTGGAGGTTCAAATGGTAGTGATGGGGAGAATTTTCGTTGTTGAAATCGATCAGAATTGGTTTTGGATAATAACGAAATATTAACTTTGAATGGGAAAGTGGTATTTGGAAACTTTTTAAATAGAAAAGTGTTAGTAAGGCAAACCTTAGGTGGGGAAAAACCGTTTACTCTATCTTCTATCATAGATCTTATATACATATCATTAGTAAAATGGTATGATAATTTGATACATAATTATCATTATCATTATCTTATCTCTTTAATTAATTAGAATTAAAACATTACCAATGTCAAATTGTTCCTCTTCCTCATGTGAAAATCTGACCCACAATTTGTCTTTTAGGAAGCACTTAGCTGGAACATCAACATTAAATATCACGCCACAAAATCACATTAATTTATAATCAATCCACATTCTCACGCGTCATTAATTCACGTGTCATAGGCTTCGTTTGTTTTAATTTTCAGAATACTACTTTTAGCATTCCCAAAAAAGTTAAACAGTAAAATACCCAAAAACTTTGATTTTTGNTTGGATGGTCGGACCACGTCAACCATGTGACGTGGTAAGATTTGTCCCATGTAAATATTTTGCAATTAAATGATGCAAAAAAAATTAATTTGAAAGTTTGAATCATTTAAAAAAAAAATAAAAAAGCCAAAAAAAGAAAATACATTTATATCAGAGAAAAAAAAAAAAAAAAAATTTAAAAAAAAAATAAAAAAGCCAATAATAAAAACAAATGAAGAACAGAGAAAGTAATTTAGAGTTTTGAGTAGATCAAGATATTCCTCTTGAATCCTTAACTTTGTTTCTTGTTTTTACTTGTTCTTGATATTCTTCATCATTTCAAACTCCTTGGATTTACTTTTATAAATTTAAAAAAAAAAAAAAAAAATCTTAATTAATTTAACAATTCAATTTTGTTTAAAAAACTTATTGTAAGAATATCCATATCTTTCCTCTAATTTATAATTTACATCCCTTTCAACAACATTCTTTCTTTGAAATTTACAAAGATTTTTATACTTTTCAATACCTCTTACTTTAATTGATCTTCATTGCAAGTTTGGATTTTGGAATGAAAGTTTTGGACTTAATTGGGCTTAGTCAAGGCCTTGTAGCAACCCAGCCCAATTGAATGTTATTTGTATACTAAGTGTCAATATCTTCTAGAGTACATGACTTATTCCATCCAAGGTTTTCCTTAATGACATTTTCTCACTCAAAAAGTTTCAAAATACTATTTTTTCACCCAAAGTTTATATTCTGTTAATACTCAAAATACACTTCACTTTCTCAACCAACATTTGACGAGTTACCAAGAGTCAAGGTAAAAGGGGTTTTGTAGAGTTAAGACCGGTGGATCAAATGGTGGTGATCGATTGAATATTCGTTGTTAGAACAGCCGAAAATTAGTTAAGAACAAAAAACTCTAGTTTTACAGTGACTGACAATCGACGAGAAATCAAGTGTCGGAGTGAGAAAAATTTTGTAAAGAGGAGACTGAAGGTTCAAATGGTAGTGACGGAGAGAATTTTCGCTGTTGAAATCGACCAGAATTGGTTTTAGGCAATAACAAAATATTAACTTTTGAGTGGGAAAGTGGTATTTGGAAACTTTTTGAGTAGAAAAGTGTCAGTAAGGCAAAGCTTGGGTGGGAAAAAGTCATTTACTCTATCTTTTATCATAGATCTTATGTACGTATGATTAGTAAAATGGTATGATAATTTGATCCATCATTATCATTATCTTATCTCTTTAATTAATTAGAATTAAAACATTACCAATGTCAAATTGTTCCTCTTCCTCGTGTGAAAATCTGACCCACAATTTGTCTTTTAGGAAGCACTTAGCTGGAACATCAACATTAAATATCACGCCACAAAATCACATTAATTTATNACCCTCCGGCGGTGGTGGCTGGTTGTCCGTATTTGACATTGGGTTGGGGGTGTTTTTGTTAACTTTTAAGATTTTATTATAGGGGGTGTTTTGTAAATAAACAAATATAGGGGGTATTTTATTAATTTATAAATTCTACATCGTAATACCCGTCTAATTTAACTTTTTTTTAACTTTTTTCAGAAAACTTTTCCCAAAAACACCCAATTGTGAACCAAACGAAGCCATAGGCAAAATATCAATATTTACCCTTAATGTTTGCAAAACTAACAAGAACCCACTATTGTATATTTTATCAAACACTACCTTTAATGTTTTAAAACCTCATCAAAAACTACCTTACTAGTTACTACTCTACCTTTGGAAGAGAAAAGACCACATTACCCTATACCCTTTAGTTCTATTGAAAAAAATTAACTACTTATATAAGCATTCGGTCATGTCCTATCAATATTCATGAGATCAATGACAGGTTTAGAGGGATTAGTATGAAACTCATCCACTATTTTCAGAAAATATTAAATGCCCTTTATCAAGGGTTTTGTTGATAAATAATACTATATTTACAATTGAGTTATACAACTAAATAAAAAACAAAGGACAGAGTAATCATTTTACATAAATTTTGTGCAATTTTTGTCTAGTAGTATGACTCGGTTGTAAGCAAAATATTATTGTTTGTTGATAATTTTGTCAAGGGTAATTTTGATACTTTTAAATGAAGCAGATAAGTTAAATTTTAAGTTTTGAAATTATGAGGATAGATTTTTAGTCCTCTATTACTATTGACTATTAGCAATTTCAATGTAATAACAATAGGGTTGAGGGGTGTTAATGATAAATTTTTAAACTATGAGGAGAGGTTGAAAGCTCATCATTGACCTTACATTTTTGAAAACTTTAGGGGTAATCATGATATTTGTCCAAATGATATATAAAATTAATGCAGACTAATGCACCAAACCGGTTCTAAAAAACGGTCGTTTTCTGTTGCTGAGTTCTGAATACTTCCAAGCAAGAAAAAGAGAGTGTGTGATAGCTTGAGGGAGAGAGATGTCTAAGAATTTGGCCATAGATGCATGGGTAAGAGAAGCTCAAGAGGCAGTAAAGTTGGTGGAAGATATAGAAACAAGAGTCAAGAACAAGAGCTTAAAACAAGAAGAAAACCAACTGAGGCTTAGAGATGACATTGCTCGATCCAAGCTTTTTGAAGTTGGAGTGAAGCTTGACCGCCTCGAATCACTCCTTCACAACCCACCTTCTAAACCCATCTTGTATGTTCCTTATCTCTCCCATCTTGCTCTTGCTTTCAATTGATTTGTTGAATATTGCTGCATATAAAATTGTGTTACTTTAGCTTTGGCCTTGATTGGCTATTGATGATTGTGCTAGTTTATGTGATCAAAAGGTTATTGTTTTATGCATTTTAATCTGTCATTTAGATAGTGGTTTAAAAGGGTATTACATGAATCAGAAATTGGAGTGTTTTGTATTTGTATTGGTTATTGGATGTGTAATCTACAGCTGCAGTGCTTTGCAGAACCAATGAAGATTTGGAATATCGATGGAAGATGCTATCAGATATTCAATTGAGGACAAAGTCTCTAGCCCTCTGTCTCTATGCAATGCCATCCTCAAACAGGTTTCTGTGCAATGCATTCATCTTTTGTTACAGTAATTGGAATGAGAAATTGTATTATTCGATTCAAGGGGTGGAAATTTGGTGATCAAGGAACTCATGATTTATGCCAATTACTTAGATTCAGTATGATTAGTAATAATTATTTGATATTATGATTCAAATAGAAAAGAGACAAGATTAATGCCTTTCTTGCAACTATATTCTACTTTCCCAATATTGTTCTGGTATGTGAACTTTGATTGCTTTTAGAAAACTTAGTATTCTTGTATGCAGGTCAGAGGGCTTACCAGTTGCAGATACCAAAGAAACCAACAAAAAAGATGGCAGTTATGACCATGGTACAACTCTAAATTTTTGTGATAGCATATCAAAATTTTATAGTATAGAACTGGTATCCTGCTTCAGGATTGGAGACTTTCTGGTTAATACTTAAAGCTTATTCAAACTAATGCGTGAGAACAATGGAGAGAGTTAGAAATGCGTTAATAAGAGGACATAAATCTTGATTGAGCACCTATTCATGTTATGTTGCATGATCATAAACAATTAGTAATTTTTAACTTCTTGTAACATCCATAGACACCCATATTGTCACTTGGAAATGCCTCATTGAATGCTATTAGGAGCTGAATTTTAATTTTGGTTATGTGACGCAGATCAAAATAAGTCCTCTTTCGCCGAAAATGAACCAGAGCTGCTCAAACCTCTTGTTGTAAGTTTATATTACTGCTTATGATATCGAACTTGGAATTCAGCATATTAGGCATTTGACCATTTCACTAACGTATCTGCCTTGTGCAGTCGGATGATTCACCCCAGAGCGATATGCAGGTATGCAGTTTGATTTTAAGTGGACTATTTTATCACTGCAGCTGCCATTTCTTGACTATTCTAAATAACATTCATTTTTGTTTTGTGTGAATGACCAGATCACACATTGCAGTTCTTTCATTGATTCAATGCCTTTGTTTTGCAAGGTCTGCGGGATTATTTGCTCAATTCTTGGAGCAGTTGCATTTCTATTTGTCTTGGTTATCCTCTGTGCAGTTCTGTAAGCAGCATAGTCAGCCTATTGTTTAATTTCAAGATCTGGGAAGAGCTATTCTTCAGCATTTGGCATATCAGAAAAAGACCCAGAATTCTTTTATCTATCTTCCAACAGTTACTTCAATTAGAAATTAATTATAAGTAGGAAACATTGTATCATCATTACGAGTTGAGATTCGATCGTGAAGTCATTATACATTATTCCGAAGCCTCTTAGAAATCCCTTACTACATGTTATCAATATCATCCAATTTTGCAAAAAGTGATAATTGTAACCATTGTAATTTAAATGTTTTGAAGAAGTTCTACTGTTAATCTTTCCCCAGACTGAATACACAAGTAGAAGCAATTTGACTACAGGAAATGACTTCAAAAAGTTTTCAACTGATGTCTTCCTAAAACAAGCAAAAACTTCCAATAATTTTTTTCTTTTGTCATATGCTCTTGCATTGCATGTGAACTGAAAGCCTGAAATCACATGGTGAATAAAAGGCAAACCAGTGTTGAGTAAAATGTTAATTTTTACAGTGGGAGAAAATATCACCTCAGCAGTGAAGTTGGAGGACATAATTATGAACCAAATTTCTAGTTTCCTGATCGGTATAAATTTAACTTTTGGCCATATAGTAAGATTGGAACTTCACATTTCAAAACCAACAAAACCAAACTCAACTCTTGGGACCCTTACACCCTTCAATTGACATTGTACTCAGAAGAGATGGACCACAAAGCTAAAAGATATAATGTTGCTGTTGTTCATCTTTTGGCCATAAAATGCTGTAATGAATTACTGATACTGACCCTCCAATGATACAATTATACAATTGTTCAGGGTCCTGTGGCTTGAGGCGTAAAAGAGGAAATTGAGAGTGAAAAATATCAGTCATAACAGTACGTAGAGGTTTTGTTTTTGAATGGGGAGTGTTAAGTCCCTCTTGTCGAAAAGACATGGCACCAAAAACAAAAATAGTTTATGAGACCTTTAGCCTGAAAAGAGAATTGGAATGGTGCCAGAAATAGTAAATTATAATTCACCATTGTCTAAGCAAACCAACAATTTTTTCTCTCTCTTTATGAATTCCCCCTCTCTATATTTTTCCATTCATTCACCTAACAACATGTACTACTCTCATATCTCCAAATGAGGTGGCTGCAATCCCTCCTCTCTCCATGGAAGAAGCTCTGGTTTCGCAAGCATTCGCCTCAGAGAAAGAGTATTAATCTCACTCTTCATCCTTTAATGCCTGCATTCTTGTCTTCTGGTTTCTTGCTACTTGTTTACACATTACATATCACATACATTTTGTATACAAAAATTCTGCATTTTTTGCAGCACTTTGAATGCTGATTTTATTACCAATATATACAATGCAATCACAACTTCTTTCATCTTCTTCCTTTCTCACTTTTAAGCAAATCGGTTTTCTTTTCTGTGATTTTCAGATAGAGGGATATACATTTTGTATGAAGATGTGAAGTCTTGCCAATGTGAAGATGTGCATGTCCTCTGGTCCATTCTGGTGGAGTCCAATACATCCTCCATGTCATTACAACCTTAAGGCAAGATATTCACGACATTATCGGATCAGTAACAATTGTTTGATCATTACATATACATATATATGTTGAATAATACTGTTTAATGTATCAATTTAATAACGTTATCCGGTGATGATGTAATATAAACTTTTCGAGAATGATAGGTGGTTAGGAGATGAGAAATTTGCCAATTATGTACATAATATATAATATTGGCTAGTTCCTCTCTCTCTTGTAATTTGTAATTGTAGCTACAATGTTAAAAGATTATGAATCTCTCTTCTAGAATTGCCTTTGCTTTAAATTTTGTAGTAAGCTGGGTTGTCTGTTTCTTTGTAGTTGGTTGTAGTTGACTAACAAATATTCTTAGGTTGATTTAAAATTGATGGGAGAACTTACCTTTGAATGTGATTGTGTCTTCTTCAAAACATTTTTTAGGCTTCAATTTGATAGTGATGGTGGTCAATCTTCAATTCTAGATTAAGCAACAAAACATTCAGAGCTTTACCAAATAAATTTTCAAGTTTTACTCAAAATCCAAGCGATTAATCTAATAAAAGAACCGCCACTAGGTGGTCTAGTGGTAAAAGAGCAAAATGAGGTTTCATGAGTTCTTGAATTTGAATCTCTCAAGCACTAATAGGGGTGACTACTAAGGTTTTTATCCGGCCGACAGTTCCAAGACTGTGGAAGATTAGTTGAGGGACGTGCAAGCTAGTTCAGACACTTTTAATGATAAACAAAAAAATCTAATAAAAGAGGGATGTGAGACAAAATATATGAATTCAGATATCTTGATTTGACTCATATATAATATAAAAAATATCAAATTTGTCCTTTGAAAACGCGAAAAAAAAAAAAAATTCATCTTTTAAAAGTGAATTGTCTATGGAAGTTTAATGTAGAATACAATTTTTTTTTTTTTTTTTTTTTTGGGTTGTTTTGGTCATGACCATAAAGAAAAAATAATATGAAAATTTAGAGAGCAGTAGAAGTTGAACTTTTAGAGTTGAGCTAACACAATTTGGGCTTCCATAGTGGGCCTTTTGGGCCCAACTCGTTTTTAGCTTTACATGACCTATGGGAACAAGCTTGACAAAATTAGTTTGATAGAATAATGTTTATTTATTTAAATATTCTCTTTTCCTAATTATATATAATCATTTCAATTATTAAAACATACTCCTTTAATCGCCCTGTTTTGTTTAAATTATTATTTTAACAGTTTTTGTACTTGGGGGTTGATCAGGAAATTGATTTTGAATGAACAAATTGTAATATTTAATTAACAAAGTTGGCCACAATAGAAATGAATGAATAAGTTCCATTTAAGTCATCAAACTTAAAGGTAAACGATGACCGGGTGATTTGATGGTAAAAGAGTAAAATAAGGTTCTATAAGCTCCTGAATTTGAGTCTCTCCTAACATTACTAAGGATGATCACTATCCACTGGGTTCTTATCCGGCAGACGTTGTAGATTTTGGAGGATTAGTTGAGATTACGTAAGTTGATCTGAATACTCCCGATGATTTAAAAAAAAAAAAAAAAAAAGTGTTAAAGATCAACTAATGAAGGCCGAACGACATCTACCTACCCATAGTTTGCGATAACAACAAGTTGGTACCAAAAGGTTTAAAAATGACAATTACCCACTTTCTGTCCAACTCTGTTAATAAAATCTGTTTAGGAAGGGTAATATAGTGATTTATATCTATTAATTTTAAATTCATCAATAAATCCCTAAACTTTTTTTATCATATTTTTTATTTCATTTTCTCTTCTCTTCTATCTTTCTTCTCTCTCCCTTCTCTTTCTTTCTTTTTCTCCGTCTTTTGACTCTTTTCACCCTCCTCCCCTTCTCTTTTTCACTTTTTCTTATCCCTCTTTTCCCTTCTTCTCTTTCCTTTCTTTCCAGTTTCGTCTTTCCCTCCCCTTCTCTTTTTCCTTTCTTCCCCTCTTTCCCTTCTCTTTCTTTCTTTCTCTCCGTCTTTTCCCTCCTCCTTCTATTTTCTTCCTTTCTTCTCGGTCAGGACCTCCACCAGCTCCAACTCGCCACCAGACCACCAATACACCCATCCACCACCACCACAACCACCACTTTCAACACTTCCAGCCCACTGTTAAAAAGTTATAAATTTGAAAAAATTAAATTAAAAACTGAAGAGAAAAAGAACCAAATACAACCATCACCACCGCCACAACCCCCAAGTTTCAGACACTTCCAACCCAAACTATAAAAAATTATAAAATTTGAAAAAATTTAAAAACTGGAGGAAAAGACGGGTTTCTGCCTAGCGACCAAAGGGAAAAGAGGGAGAAGAAAAGTTAAAACAGAGAAGGGGAAGAGGGAAAAGACAGAGAAGACAAGGAAAAAAAAGAACGAGAGGAGGGAAAGATGGAGAAGAAAGGAAAGAGAAGAGAAGGGAAAAGAGGGAGAAAGAAAAGGAAAAAAAAGAGAAGGGGAGGAGGGAAAAGAGGGAGAACTGGAGAGAAGGGAAGAAAAGAGAAGGGAAAAGATGGAGAAGAAAAGTAAAAAAAAAGAGAAGAGGGAGGAGGGAAAGACGGAGGAAAAGAAAGAAGAGAAGGAGAGATGAAGAAGAAGATGAGAAAGAGGAGAAAAATGAAATAAAAAACTATAGGGATTATTGATATATTATTAAAGTTAATGGGTATAAAATTACTATATTGCCTCTTAAACAGATTTTATTAACAGAGATAGACAGAAAGTGGGTAATTGTCATTTTCAAACCTTTTGGGTATCAAATTATCGTTATGGAAAAACTATGGGTAGGTGCATGTCGTTCGGCCACGAATGAATAAGTCAAAATTAAAAATGAATTTTCAAAAATAAAATGAAGAAATGTGAATTAAAGGCAAGACCATCGGTGACTAGTCTTATGCCACGAATGAATAAGTCAAAATTAAAAATGAATTTTCAAAAATAAAATGAAGAAAAATGTGAATTAAAGGCAAGCCATCGGTGACTAGTACTTAGCAACACAAAAGCTGGTCACCAGGGATTGCCTTTATTTATTTATTTCCTATTTTAAGTTTGGATTTTAGAGTCCAGTGCTTTCACAAATTTTTGTAAGTTGTTTTCACTCCTAGTTGCTCATGTCACTAACCATAGTGAAGTCATCCCTTTGGATCATTGGGTGATAAGTTTGTGTTTGATACTGATTTTTTTGCGTTTCATGTAAGTGTCTTTCATCCTAAAACGTGTTTTTTGTTGTTCATGTCGTTATTACTGAAAGTTGTCACTTTGATACACAGTTGGTGAGCTGTTGATACTAATTGTGTCATCTATTCTACGTAGGTGTTTAATAACTGACTCAGGGTAAAACCTAACAAAGTAGTGGGTCTCGGGTTGATGGTTTGACCAATAGGTCAAACCGTGACGTTACATGTTAAGAGGTTGAAATCTAGCAAACAAACCCCTAAAAAATACACATCAGTTTCAATAGGTTTGAAATCTAGCGAACATATCATAAATGCAAATCGCACGGTCAAATGGTTGGTGGCAACGACACACTAAATGCAAATCTACTCATCATTTGAGCCATTTAGCAGCAAAAAAACACCACTGCCGCGTTGACAACCTAGGCCAAATAGGACATTCTTTCGGCATTGACAACACTCCCCTCAGCCTCCTAACCAAAACCATCTCACCCCCTATATTCGCCCGCAATTGCCGACAACAACCCTTTGTTTTGATCGTGCGACTTTTGCCTTTTCCGATCATTTCACTAACAGAAATCATCTTCGTCGCCACCTTTCAACTTGTCGACATTTCTCCCCAAAAACCAACAAACTTGCCATCTTTTGCTGTTGATCGCCGCCCTCCTCTCTAGGGTTTGCTTATTCAGATTATGAACTATTGAAATATTGAATTGACCTGGCTAAGGCCCTGGGTCGGTTAAACCGGCCAGGTTTTAAAACATAGATTCTATGTCTAAGTAAGTAGATTTTAATTGCTTTGACTGAATTTGCAGAATTACTTTTAGTCTTCATGTAAACATTCTTCATCTAAAACACACAATCATTATGAATTAAATCTCCCCCTCATTCGTGATATAAGATATCACATTATAAGTTTATAACAGTACCTTTTTAGTCAATATATACCAGGAGTGGCAACGATGAGAAGCATTTGTTTAGAAACAAAATTTGATGACATTAGAAGGAAACATTAATCACAACCGAGCATTTTCCGGTATGTAGTTGAAATCTTAAGAGGAAAAAACAAAAGCCACAGTTAGCAAGACCGATGGTCGGACTTAAACAATGAAAAAAAAAAAAAAAAAAAAAAAAACCATCGTGGTCCTTCTCCTACCTTAAGCACGCAATAGAAGTAGATAAGGATAGTTAAACATTCTTCAATGCCAACCCAAAATCCTCAGAATAATTCAACAGTAATCCACCCATTTCATTCAAACTCTCATTTAATTAATAATTTATCAAATTTTAGTTGGTCCATTATCGTTATTGTGCCTGTGCCATAGTCTTACAGTCTCTTACACTATACCAAAAACAAAACAAAAGCACTTGCCAACCGCACTTTCTAATTCCCACTAAGAGAATCTCTTACTTCTGTTACCTGACAAAACTCTCTTCCTTGGCATCTCCAACTCTTTAGATACCCTTTTCTTGGAGATTTTAGATTTTATAAGTATTTGTTGAATATACTGCTCTGGAACTTCAATTGGGAATCTTTGATTTTGTTCTTTCGAGTTATGGGTTCTTCAGTTCTCTTTCCTACTACTTCAGTTTCCGGGGTTAGATGGTCTGCAGCTCAGGTGAAGGGTTCAAGGCTCTGTGTCCGTTCATCTTTGGACACTGATGTTTCTGATATGAGTGTTAATGGTGAGTTTTTTTTATTTGGTTAGTTGTTATCAAGTTTTGATCTTTTGCCTTTTTTGGTTGCTGGGTATTCGTTTTATGTTGTTTTGTGGGACTTTTAGTGTTTAACTTCTGACCAAATTCGTGGCGAATTTGCTGTTCTTTTGGTTGAGTTAAAATTGAATTGGAGGGCGAGTTGTTTATTGATTTTTGTTATTGTATAGGAAAAATTAGAAATGTGGCTTTGGAGGGTTAATTAGGGGCGTACCTCACTTCTAGTGCATATCCAAATAGTGGAGGAGAATATTTGCTTGAAGATTTATCCTACGTAACTGAATTATATATCTAAAAACTTCCTAGTCCTAGAACTAATAGAAATAGTGAGAAGTGTAAAAATTTTGTTCAATTAGTTCAGTAAATTACATTTGCAGTTCTGCACA